GCTTTACGTGGGACAGCAAATTTACTCCCTTTGTGTATTTATAGTAAAATTACCAAAATTCCACAAGACATAGGGAAGAACTTTATCAGTGCTACTGGGTATTTATTATTTTTATGACACAAATACAATTAAAGTTATCAGTTTGATAACATGAGATTTTTCATTTAATTATTTTATGTAGTACGTTTGCAAGACGGAGAAAACACATACAGGTATGGCATTTTCTTAAAGATAAAAATATTATTTAGAGCCCCGCTAACCTARGCTCTCTTTTAAATACCTAAAACTATTCACAAATTTTTAGTCAAAATCGACAAAATCTTTAATTTTAATTTTTTGATTTAATAATATGGTAATTACTGATAAGTAACAATATTTACGTATTTGAGATTCGATATCTTGATTCGAATTTGATGCCATTGAAGCTTTTAAAATATTAGATGCAAATGGTAAAATGTTTGAACCATACATCTCGATAAATTCTTTTATCCAAGACATTGCTGTATACTAAAAAAAGGAACAAMTTATATTAATTTTATTATACTAAAAAATAATTGAGAAAATTATGATTTTATTTACTTGAACAAATTCATCAGTGGAGTATGAATAAATAACAACAGTATTTATCATATCTGTATAGTTAACTTTTTCAGGACTATGACGTAAGTCATCTAGAAATTTTTTCAACACAGCATCGCACCTGTATTAATTATTTTTATTTTATTTGAGTATATGAAATGAAAAGTTTTACATAATGACTATCATTAGCATGTAAAAATCATGTATCAACTTTTATAAAATTAAAACTTAATACACTATAATAGATAAGATTTAATAATAAATAAACATAATTTTCCTTACATTTTTTTAATTTCAAATGTAGGATCAGACAACATTTTAAACAATCCATCCAAAATTTCAGGTAAATATATCACTAAATCAATTGAGGGGACATCATCTAAAACAGTAATCCATGAAATTATGAATTGCTTAGCAAAAGTATTTTCTGTGTATATGCGCTCTCGAAGCAATGGTATAAAGCCAACAAGATCAAAAATGTTTGAATTATCCGTAACAATATCCTTTAAAAATAATAAAAAATATAATATTGGAAATTATAAATGTATAGCATTTTCAATTGTATAATAAATTAATATGTATTATATAAATATGCATACCTTCATTAAACGATCTAAAAGCTCAGAAGCATTTTTAACATTTTGATCAGGATCAGTGGCCAGTTTACTTAATGATTTAAAAATGTCAGGAAAATGTTTCAAAACAGCACTGCGAGCCACTTTAGAAACATTATATAGTGATTCACTGGCATAGTATCGAACTTTCAAATCAGCGTCATTCAAATTTACCAATATTGGTATGATCAAATCATCAATATAGTTTACAGAATCCTAAGAATTAAATAATTGWAWAAACTATTAAATTGAACATATGATGAAAAAAACTATGTATACTTTTCCCAGTCCAACAGTCATAGCAGCAAGTCCTATGAGTCCTCCTTTTTTAGTATTAGCATTTTTCGACATTGAAAAATCTTGTCCCAACACTTTTAACAACCGTCTTATTTGCATAGAATTGTTGACGGCTGCAAATTCTTTAACCATCCTAAGCCGATAAAATAATTTAATAAGAAAATTAAATAATTTTCAAAAATATCTGTCAAACAATTACTTCTCAATTTCCAGCGCTGCTGCTTTTCTTTTATCATACATTTTATCGTTCAATGCCCGAACACACGCAGCGCTGAGAGGTGCATAATCACGGTCCATGCTCATAATTAAAATCTATTAATCCAATGTATAAATAGAATTTCACTTTAAACAGAAATTAAAGTTGAAGGATAATTGTTAATATTTTTAATTAAATTAAATCTGTCTAGAGATTAAAGAACATTTTAAAAGTAACCAATTTTTAACTTAACTTATATTTGTATAGTAATAATTTAAGTAAATAAGTGATTTATGTAAATGGCATAACATGTACGTGTAAATAAAATCAAAAACAATTCCAATATARTYAATTCATAATTGTATTATATAATTATATTTTGAAAATTATTAAAATTAAGTTAAAAATAATAAAAATTAAAAACAATGTACTTCATTATTGTAATTATTGTAGTAAGATAACTTAGATAACATATWAATTAAAATTATTAAAAATAAATTGATAAGAATTATCAGTATAGACAAAACATTCAAAAACGATGRCACCACTATCTATTTTCTATGGACACCACGTCCTGCACGTCGAGCACGAACTATGATTGATAGAACAACTGACAAAATGACAACTGAATAAACTGAAAGAAGAATAGAACGGAATTCTGTTGGTCGGAAACAGGGTGAGGTATCGACACGACGACATTCTGTCACAGATTAAGTAAAACTTTACTTTCTTAATCTGTGATTCTGTGTTGTCAGTTTGTCTCAGACTTCCTTATATCTGCACTAGAGCCATCTAACGGTGTAAGTTATTTTCTAAAAAAAAATTATAATTCCGGTTATACTAATAATATTATTAATTAATAAAAACAATTAGGTATAACTATTATAAATTATCTTATTACACTATTATTGAGCTCAAAATTATCATCGGATTTTCCCTAAACTTCATTTTAATAATACTTTTATGAGTAATTTGTGATTATATTGAGTTGATTCCAACGACCAGTCGAAGTCGACTGTAATACCTACCTACTAACTACCTACTTATTATGACTGTTATAAGGAACCTTATTTTAAATGTTAAATCCTTTCACCTTTGGCTGTAAAAATTTAAAATTTAATAAAATTTAATTACGCAATTATTTGCATTTTTTTTTTTTTATGTGATTTCGAAGAATGTAGTCAAAATTAAAACTTAAAATGTTATTAAATCTGTGGATTTATTATATTAATGTAAAAATATAATATCTCTCGTCAATGGTAATATGACCAATCGATGCGAAGAACTAGGACGGTATATAGACGTTCTTAAAATTTCAAGAACCAAATAATTGAACTCAAACAAAAAAATGTTCGGTTCCGTTTGGTTTAATTTTTTAAAAATCACAATATTTTCAGTTCAGAGCTGTAGCCCTGTAGCCTTTCCACGCTGTTGGTGGTAGTTAAGTTTGTTTTCATACACTTTCAGGCAAAGGCGTGCGCAGGGAGGCGAATATGCAGGATATGCAGCTATATATTATCCTRAAGTTCTTTGAGGGGCGAAAATCGACTCTGGAAAATTGAAACATTCAGTTATCAGTTATCAACTACCAAGTATTTGCGAAATACACACTTTTTGTAGTTTGTCATGGTATTTGTTATAAATTGTTTTCAATTAAACAGTATAGATATTTCAATATTTATGTATTTGTGTATACATAAATATTATCAGAATTTTACAATCTAAAAATAACACTCCGGGCGCACCATTGTCAGTCTATCTGCATAGTGCATACCCTGAAAAAGAGGCCTGCGCACACCTGTCACCTATGACCTATGCTCTCGAGAACTTATAAATATACACTACTTTTAGACGTAAAATAAATACTCGTATTTATTGTCACGAACAAGAGAGAGGGTAGTTAATTGTCCGTCTGGTGATTTAGATTCATGTTTTATTTCTAATCACGAACTGCATAAAATACGTGAGCCATATTATTTTTTCATATTTTCTAATTTTTCAGAGAATAAAGGTGACTATTATCCGATTTTTTAGAAGATATTAGCATCATATTTTAGGTGTTTTAAGAGAATATAAACCGTACTTTACGCACGACCGCTCTTTGAATCACTTCTTCACTCTACATTCACCATGAAATTCAACAATTATTATTATTTTTTATTGATATTATACGACACATTCGCAAAACCAAACGCTACCCTCAACCACTATATTTCTTAAATATTAAGTCCGAATTTATATTTTCTCTAAATCTCTAAATGTTTTCTAAAAAACCATAAAAGGAAAAATACTATTTTATACAAGATTTTAATACTAATACTTAGACATAGTTTTAGGGCATACATTTTGGGGGGAGGGGGATTTAAGATCGCAATATTAATAGGTGATTACGATTACCTGAATAAAAAACAACGAATTTCTCAATCACTATATTTATGGCCTAAAGCCCTTAAAGGCAAATGTAATGGTAAACACTACAGTAAAATTATACGTAATCGTACAAAGTATCATTTAATTCCCTGATTTATCTGTGTTTATCTATTAACTACATAAAATATAATATAATATGATTATGTGTATTTACAATCACCATTYTATTTTAAATAATTGTTTGATATTGTATTTAAAATTTTAAAATCACAATTCACAGTAAGTACCTATATTCAACGATATCATCCCGTATAGGTCTATTACGTACCTATACTCTTCTTCTCCTTGTATCTTGAAGATAATTAGTAATATACCACTGCAGTAAGTAAGAGCCACGGTTATATACAAGTGGCATATTTATGTATGGTCCATAGGGTCTGGACTAACCCAACCGCACAACTGAATTTTTGATTGTATTATAGTATTATACTATTATTGTATAAACGAAGGTATAATGGACTACCAAATACCAATGATGTCCATTTATCGGGATAAATTGTCGCGTATTAAGTCCTAAAAGACTTGATTTTGTAATGTTCTTTTATATTAGGATCAAAAATAAATAATTAYTAATATAAAAATTGTATTTTTTTTTTTAATGCATTGTAAATTTGTAAAAAACTGAATTTCTTTTTCAGTAGGAAGTATAGAGAGTGGGAAACCCAACTTAATTGTATTTTGAAATTAGCTAGACATCCTATACGAAATCAATTAAATCAATGCTTAATATGTGTAGTACTGTATAGTATAGTGTAGTGCAATATAAATTATAATAATATGTAGGTATACATTTTAATTTATATATTCTATATATTCTATATATTCTATATTTTTCTATATATTTTGTATCGAGCAAAATTGCGTTCAGATTTCACACAAAGGATCTATTGTTTATTCATATATTTATTACAAGTGTTTGAATAACCCGGTAATGGTATTTGTAGTATTTTTTCCAATTTACTGACAATCAAATTGTCGTTTTGAATTGGTTTCAGGTCATTTTGTACTTTTTCCAACTCTTTGAACAAACAATTGAACCGTTGGTCCTGAATATAATGTAAAAAAGTAATATAAAATGTAAATATGTAATACACTATTACGAGGCATATTATTATAAGTTTGATACTCAAACTCGAGTCTTGATAACAATATAATACATTATAATAAACAATATTTTATATTCATAAATTTGAATAAACATTTACCAAGTCATTTTTGCCAGGAAACTCAACCTTCCCATTCTTTACAGCATATGGCCACTATTCATACAAAAACATAAAAATTTGTAATTAGTTTTATAKTTCAGGATAGGTTAGGTCAGGTTAGATTAACTTACAGTAATATATTCTTCCAATAATAATTTTTTTCGAATCTGCAATAGATAGGTATTTATATAAGTCAATTGTGTGAGATAATAAAATATGATACAATTAAATGTACAAATTCGTATTTTAAGTAAAAACATACAGCTTTTTTAAGTTCAGATTGTAGTTGACAATTAATTTTCATCATGCATTCTAATCGTTTTCTATAAATCTCTATTTGTTGTTTTATGTTTTCAATTTCATTTTTTTTTATTTTCTCTGAGATAGTTTCTGTATTACACGRATTGTCAGTACTAAAAATTATGGTTAGGATAATGATCTATTATACTAACTTATAATACATATTATATATAAATAATAACTAAATACAACAAAATTCAATTAGTTTGAAAATAATAATTTAGGTATTCTATTTTAAATTGGTACATTCACTATAGATAAAAAACCATAATGAAAAATATTTTAAATAATTATATTCACAAATATAACTAAAATTTAACTACGATGTGTTCTATTGATTAATATTTWATTTTTATTTTTATACATACAGAAAACAGTGAGAATATTTAGTTTTCATACTGCAGCTGCAACATTTGTTGTTTCCATCGAAAAATCCGTCGGCAGAGCAATAGCACATCAGTGACTTGCACGCCTAAGTACAGTAA